CCAGCCTTTTCTGTTGATGGACTGAAGAAGAAATCGACCTGGTCCAAGCTGTCTTATTACATCCTTATAAACCTTTATCACAACCTTTTCCACCTGGAGTTCTACCACCAGGAAATGTTATCGATGAGATCGCCAATCAGATTCTCACTTTCGCTTTCAGACCAACACACCCATCACGACAATCGCGACAACTTACAGATTTAGGGATCACCTCATCCACACAAATTGATGCGTCCCTATCGCGGCTCTCCCCTCCTGGCATACAAGGACAGGACGGGTCGGAGGAAGTTTCTTGGAATGGACACTGGGAGGACCATTGGGTAGAAGAACAGGAAACAGAAGAAGAGAGAACAGGTTGGAGACATGGGTTCACAGACACAAGAAAAAAAGTATACGACTTAGCATTGGCCGATAGTAAATGGGGACACGATCAAGCAGAGAGGAAGTTGAGTAGATTGGAGAGAAAGATGAGACCTGGTCTGAGAAGGATGGATTCTATGGATTTCTTGGATGAAGAAGAAGGACAGACGGGTTCGCTTGGAGGGGTTGGGAAAGCTCTCAGGTGAGTAACCTTCAAAATTCTATAAGATCGGTCTGGGACTGAGGATGTGGCTGATGAGAATAGGTTATCAACGTCGTTACAGAATAGTGCAAAGCAAGAAACTTTGTTACCAAAAATTAGCAGGTCAAATTCTCGTCAGTGTCGCCTCCCTGATTATGGAATGACAGACGTACTAATCCTAAGTCGGGGGAATATTGGAACACGCTTCCACTCCCCCACTCCCACCCCCACCGGCAACTATCACCCTCACCCCTGCGTCCCCTCAACGTCCGGGTCCATCACTACGAAGACAGGGATCTTTCCGTGCTCCTAGAGTCTCTCGTCCAAGTTTACTTCAAAGAGGAAGAAGTTTCACCGCTAGTGATCTTCAAGAAGAAGCCAACGCAGCTGTTCAATCTCTCGACTCTCCTCCTGCCCCTACCTCGCCTAAATCACCCGCTTCTCCTACACCCGTCACTTCTTTACTATCACACCCCAGCTCGTCTTCCATCACCGATCCACCTAATTCAGTCATCTCCAATATCCTCACAGAATCCCCTACGAAAGACCAACCGGACACACATATGACTTCCCCTGAATTATTAGCCGTTCCACCCCAATTACTTCCCCACGAAATGAACTTGAGTGACCCCAGATTACCAAGGTTGACACGATCACAATCTTCTTCCGCTGCAATGGATCGGAATCCTTCTCTATGTTCACAATTCCTATCCTCGCCCAAACCAACAACTGGGGATAGATCGATGCTTGCTAAACCTCTCTCCTTGGACATGCCTCCACCGGCACCTAGAGGACATGGGGGATGGAGCGATAGTGATGATGAGGGATTATTACCTGCCACTCCGAGAGTCATCAAAAAGGTCAGACCGGCACGTCTGGCAAAGAATAAAACGATGAGGGTCGTGAAGACGGATCAGGTTTTGATGGCAGGAGGATTGAGAAGCCCCTTTGAAGAAAAAGATATACAATTCTGAGTTAAACATTTTGTGTGAACGTGTACAGATTACCTGTACCTCTTAATCGTACCTTATAGTCCCATTCAAAATACCCATAACCCTTGTCTGTCTGATACTTCTAGACAAGATTAATTTGTCCCCTTGTCCGTTTTTTCGTAATCCCTTTCAAAGCATGGACTCTTTAGAACTTTCTTAATAAACAATTTTAGTTTTTCGCACCTGTCACACCAATGCATCGATAATAATTCCAGAGATAAGTGCACAATGATGATTGAATATAGAAAAATTACTGGCCCATATTCCTAAAAGCTTTTTTTTTACTCAAACTCCATCATCTGCACATCGTCGGATGGAGAATTCGCAGGAGAAATGAACATCTCACCGTCGTCGTTCAACTCTTCGAATCTCCCTTCGTCGTCCATTATCACTCCCGGTTCCCCTCGCCATGTCCTGACCACCTCAGATCCCTGCATGGGTAAATCCAGATTGACATTAGGTAACATTTTCCTTGCCCAATCGGAGAAACCCGGTGGTAAAACGGCAGGTCGATACATGACCAGGCTTCTTTCAGTGGATTGAGGAAGATGAAGAGTTGAGATGTCACCCCTTTGAGCGTTCAATAGATGGGTGAGGAGAGAAGGGGAAAGGGTGAAGCCTCTCATTCCGGGTTGTTCGAGTGTGCGTATGGCGCGAGAATTGGGTGATGTAGAACGAGAAGAGGATGTGGACGTGTCGGATAGGGAAGTAATTACGATGCCTGTTGGTCAGTCATGCTCTGACAATAGAACTCCAGACTAGAGGGGGTTAAGATTTTCCGTATGAATCTTATGACAAAACATGGCTGGATGAGCTACGGGTAAGATGAAAGGTAAAGGTAGAGACGCAAGGAATTTGATCAAACTTACGATCTCTTTCAGGTTCATACCACTTGGTTTTTGCTACCATCTCCATGTCTGAATCATGTCCCGTATCCTTGCGTCTTTTCCTACCCCTCATCATCTCCGCCTCGTTGTTCATCTCCATACATTGATCCAATTCCATCTCCGATTCGTCCCTCTTCTTTCCTCTAGGTGAAGTGGCGACTAGACCATCTGGCATACCAGGGTGATAGATCCCGTTTTCCATCATGGGGAGTGAAAAACTTGTCTCTCGGTTGATACCGGGACGCGTCTGAGCTTGATCGAGTATGGATGGTGATGTAGCATGATTGACGAAACTTTCGAATGCCGGTGGAGATATCATGTCATCCCTTCGCTCCGACATCGGCCTTGCTATCCCAGCATCCGGTTGCGGATTACCGATTTGAGGTACATGATCTTGTATCGCGGCAAATCTGTTTGATGGATGGCACGTTTGAGCCTGCGCAGGCACAGGACGAGGAGAGATGGACAGTCCCGAGAAACCACTCATCAGATTGGCTCTTCTTCTCTTCTCTCGATGCGGGTCACCGCATGGTGGAGAATCGTCGCAGTCTGGGTAGAACGTTGATAACAAGGGTGGACTGGGAGAGTTGGCTCGACGTTTACGGGGTAGAGGCGGTAAAGAGGAAGGTCCAGCTGGACCGGGAGAAAGAAAAGGAGGAGTGACGTTTTGCGGAGTGTGGATGTCATAGGAGGGGTAAGCACCGGTGGGAAGCCCTATGGGGGACCCGAGACCGATCATCTTTCAGGATCGAGACAGAGGCGAGAGGAGAGAAGAGGAGAGAAGGTAAGAGAAGAGGCGAGAGTGATGTTTTCAAGTATGAAGAGACAAGGTCAATGGAGAGAGGGGCAGAGAGTGTTCCAGAAGGTTGCGGAGGAGTTTCCGACGGAAGACGGAAGCAAATCGTTCACAAGTAAAGCTAAGCATCGATGACATCGATGATAAGTAGCATATACATGTTACTTCTACATAAGTAGGCGACTCGTCAGCAAGTAGAGTATAGTGGGCGGTCATGCGCAGACGAGTGGTCATCATAGGTATAGGGTCAGTCATCCACTCATAACTCGCCACATGAGCTGACATGATAGTGGAGCAAGCTGCTCGGGCAAGACACTCTTGGCCAAACACATACGATCCGTTCTACCTCCAGGTTCGACCATTGTACATCAAGATGACTTCGTGCCCGTATGTGTAATCGCTTGAATCCTCAGGGTGTGATCATATCTGATGGGATCAGCCGATAGATCAAGTCCCATACTCTGATCGTTATCCAGATTTGCAAGATTGGGATGATCCCCCTACCTGCGTCATCTGGCCCGACTTTCGAGCTTGTCTAAAGCATGTGCGCCGAAAAGGTGTCTTACCCGACCATCATTCCTCTCATGATCATCTGAATAAACAAGTGGAAATACCGCTGGATCCCCAAGCTGTCGATAGGTTCAGGATAGAGTTTCAACGGTTCAACGCGGAGATGAATGCGGAAGGGACGGAACTTGTGTGGTTTTTGGTAGATGGCTTTGTGTTGTATTGGGATAGAGTGAGTTCCACTGTCATCGATCCATCTGTCCCGTTCTCAATGTATTGAATCAGAAGCCAGTGACTGACCAGATCCAGGAAGTGATCGATCAGATGGACGTTAGAATTCTCTTAAAGGTACCTCACGATCTTCTCAAACAACGTAGAGAAGAGAGGCAAGTCTACGTGTTACAAAGTGAGTTCTATCATCCCGCTCCCCTCGCCTAATGATCAGATCCCGATGATGCTGCAGGTGGAGGAGTGTGGGTCGACCCACCAAATTATTTTGACAAGATCGTTTACCCGGCCTATGTCAAAGCTCACGATGGTTTATTCGATGGAGGTGTAGAAACGGAAACGTTGAAGAGAGAATGGGAGGATAGGTTGTTCATCTCTTCTCCTAGTGACGGTGCGGAAGAGATGGTAAAATGTTTCACGGAATGCTGTGAGGAGATTATCAGACAATGTAGGGAAGGTGCCGGCGCATTCTTACTACCATACAAATCGTAACCTACTATCCCCTGCCCTGAATATGATCCAACAATCTAGCCTTTTTGGCAGACAAAGACCCCTTCACCGACAGGTCATAGAATCTCAAACAAGATTTAATGGATTGTTCATCCTGGTCGTTGATCTTCGAGGGTGATTCCAGGACCTGACAAGTCAGTCCCACTTCTAGTAGACGATAAGGTCCAGTGCTCACTGCCGAATCCACCCCTTCTGGGAAAGGTCCTCTTGGACGATCATGATATGGAGGAGGGACTGGAACGAGTGAATGTCCCGCCCGAATCCTTCTCTTATTCGTGGCCTTCCCCAGTCAGCGTGTACCATTGTATCATGCGGTTCCGTAACAGCGACATCTGAAGCCAGATGATAGACGTTATTGAGATAGTCTATCATGGTCACCCAGGAGCAGTGGCACAGGTTTGTCTTTCATCCAAGAGGTGGATCACGTCTGGCACTTGTGTGAATCAGCTCACCTGCGCTTCCACTATCTTGGCTGAGGTTTCCAATCGTTTGACAATGTTTCTAACCTCGGTGAGATCAGATTTGACCTCGGTAAGATCAGATTTGACCTCGGTAAGATCAGATTTGACCTCGGTAAGATCAGATTTGACCTCGATAAGATCGGTCTGGGACTGATCAGTCTCTCGATGCTCACAATGTGACAAGTGCTCACTTTTATCTGTTCAAGCTGGGCTTTTATCTCTAAGAGGAGAGGTCGGTTTTCTTCGTCAACTGTAACATCAGTCGCAAAGCGGCTGGAGACTCATGCACTCACTACCTCCGTACATGATACTCCGGCGTAGATTTATGATATGCGGTAACTGATTGGAGTTGGCCCACATGGCTATGAAATAAAGCTTTTCCAGGGCGACAAAGATAGGCACAGTAGGGGGAAGGGGGACGTCTTGGAGACCAGCCAGTACAGGATCAGCGCGCCAATTGAGATCTAGAAGGAGAGATGGGGGTATGGCAAGAGACATTATGTGTGTACGTTGTTATATAAAAGACTGAGTGACTGAGAAGAGCAGGATGAAGACAACATGGGACGAGTGCGGCTGGACAAGTTGAACGCATACATACGAAAGCGGTTCAGACCTCTCCACATCTTTTACTCTACTTACTTACGTTACCTACTTTGAGAACGTCCTCTTCGAGATCGGATCACCCTCTGCTCTCACTCCGTGCGTGTCCCATCATCTGCAGTATCAGCATCATATTCATCTCGTATTCACCTGACTCTCAATTGGGTAATGATCGAATATAATGTCTTGAACGTCATCTAGACGCCGTCATCCGTCGATCGCCTGCATCTGACTGGACACCCAGCTTGCTCAGCAACGTCTCGCAGTTGTGTCTGATCTCCATACTCTGTCCCGGTCGCTCCATGAACAAGATAAGTGCCCGCAGCGCTGAAGGGTCGCAGGTTGACTCCGTCTCAGGGGCCGTCGTGCCACTTTCCAGCTCGTTGCGTACCATGTTCACTGGCAAGGTTAGCTTTCTTCCCACACCTTTTGTCACGACGCTCACCGATATCTCCTCGTCCAAAGGTCACCAGTAGATTCAAGCCAATCACCGCTTCGTTGACGAGAACCGGATGCTTGGATCCTTCCTTCGATAGATCACACAGAATCGAGCAGACTTGCACCGAGCAAAGTCGTCTCAATCCCTCTGCCGACTCGGACGTGCTTGACTTCGACAGCGAGTGTAAGAGGTTTACCAACAAGCGACCGGTCTCCGCTCGTACCGCCGGATCGGCGCATGTGTCGTACAGCGAAAAGACACTTTTTAAAGGACCGTCTTGCCCTACTACGTGCAAGGTGTTGACCACTGCGACTGTCAGCGTCCACCATGACCTAGATGAACGTACGGTTATCTCTGCACAGGAGCTTCAGTATCTCCACGGCCCCTCGATGGACGCTCGGCAACTGTTTTTCGGATCGAAACGCCTCCATGGACCCTAGCCTGGAGATGACACCCGCCTGACCGAGAACGAGACGATTGCCCGCGGGCACTGATAGATTTCGTAGCAAGCCGATGAGTGCATGTTGCACTCGGGGAGGACTGGTTGGCTCGAGAAGCTCCACGAGGACCGGCAGCAAAGATCGTTCGCCAGTAATGAGATCAATAGCGAGCTGATCTGGCGATCAACATTGTGAATCGCGTGAGATCAAAACTTCAAGTCCTCACCTTTGGCTGACCCGTTACCGAAAGCTACCAAAGCACACTCGACAAGCTCCTCTCGAGATCCCGATCTCAGCCACTCTCGCAGTGAGTCCCAGAAACCACGAAAGCTCGTTTCGTCCGTTGCAACACCAGTGCTGAGATGTATGATGACATGTATGAGATTGGTTTGAATCTGTTTGAATGTTTGTTCCAGGGTATTTGTCGCGTCTGCATCTTCATGACCAGTCTCTAAGACTTGGCCTCCACCCTCTGTCACTGTTCCGGACTCCCTTGTGGTAGGGGTGGTTTCAATGAAGGATAGCATGTGGTACAGAACACTCGTTTGAGATTTCCCATAGATATCCATTGTCCTCGCACCGAGTAACAGTGCTGGTAACGAAGTCAGATTGGCGGAAGCAACGACTTCTAGAACCCTGGAGGCCACCAAACAGAAGGGAGAGGTGTGATTGAAATCGGCTGGGATGAAATCGGACACTATGGGAATGGTAGAAAGAGGTGAATATAGGTCCTGGATGGTATCGACGTTTGTTTGAAGATTTGTTTCGTCTGGCTCTGCGGCTTTGAGGTCAGTCACCCGGTCAAGGTAGAGGCCAAGCACTGACTAGGGTTCACGATGATATCTATGACCGACCAAGACCATTCCATCACCCCGGATGAGATTGGTTCTGAACCCGGTGGTGACGAGGCGAGCATGGCGTGTTTGGCGAGCTTTGTGAGAACAGAAACGGCAGAGGTCTGTAACAGGGCGTTTATCGACCTTTCTGGACTTAGAGTATGCTGTTGGTCATTGAACACTCACCATGTCCGTCTATAACCAGGTTGACCAGGCTGGCCAGAAGGCTGTAGTACGTTGACATGGGGAATGAAATGGCCGATTCGTGGATCAGATCGATGACATTCTCAGGGTACGTTGCGTCGCAGACAAGGTCTCTGTTATGATCTATGACACTTAATTCCCACATGTTTCTCAGCCGAGTACTCACCACAGTCGGCGACGAAATTGGCAACGACCCGACCTTGCTGCTCGGCGAGTTGACCGAGATCTTGACGGGTATGCGTCCAAGTTGGTAACTCATGACGGATCAGGGATACAACCTTGGAGACGAGACGAGGTAGATCTGTATGACCCGCTTCGATACGGACATCATCTTGGAGAGAAATGTCAGCCAAAGCGCAAGGCATAGCTACCAGATTGAAGTAGAGAAACTCACCACGACGAAGAGCTACAGCTATTGGATCGATCGACTGTACGAGTGAGGGGATGGAGGATGTAAGGTTGTCACAGTGGTCTATAGCAGAGCTAAGATGTTGTACGAGTGCCAAGATGGATGTGGAGGGGTCATGATGCATGATACGTTGTTATGGTGATGTATGGAGCAAGACGAGTTGTTACGAGTAGAGTACTTAGGGGGGTGCTCAGCCAACATATTTTCCCACGGTTGTCAAGGAGTACTAGTATGGCCCCGTCAGCATTCCTCGCTCGCCCCCCTTTTGCCTCTTCCCCCCACCACTCTCTTCTTCCTTCTCCCTTGTCATCTTTCACACCCTTACCTCTTCTCGCATATACCTCGACACCCTCACTCATATCATATTATACCTCTTTACACCACGTCCTCTCATGATATCAATCCTCTCCTCATGAGGATCAAAAAGGCTCCCAAGAGGTACACCTCGCCAGTGAGTTCCCCCCCTTCTCCTTCTCTCTCTTTCAAGCTCCGACATTGGCTAATATTTTCAGCCTTCTGATGTCCTCAATCTCGTCAACGCCATCGTTCAGTCCACTGATCATGACCTCGTCTACTTGCTCGCCAATTTCCCTCGCTGGCGTTATCCTCGTGGCGACTTGCATACCTGGATCCCTGTCCTTGATCGCTTCGACGCAATACTCGCAGAGATCATCGAATCCTACAAGCTTTCTCATCTTCAGCATGTCGACTTCTCCCTTGAAGCGAAAACAACAATCCTCGAGGTGTTGAGGGTACAACGCATGCTCGTCGAGAACTGCACCAGTCGTAAACTCTTTTGTTCGTACGATGTAAGTCTCTCTTCTCTCTCTTCTCTCCTCTTCTCTTCCCCCCCTCCATCCCCGTCGGCCATGCTGACTTGTAGCGTCTTCATGACCTCCTGGGAACTACCGACATGGACGTTCTTCACGCTGCTTTGTATCTTCTCCTCCGTCCCTGCCAGCAGTATCAAAGCCAAACCCCCGTCGACGCTTCCTTTGCGTCCAAGATTCCCAACCGCTTACTCGCCTTGACCAAAGGATGGGACCAAATCCACGCTCATGGCTTGAGCCTGGTCGATTTGGCCGACGATTCCAACATCTGTGACATTCCACTCGAATCACGACGCGTGCAGTTCCGCTTCTACCCATCGAAACCCACCGCTTCGTCCAAAAGCCATGCGACGACTCGAACCCCTCCAAAAGTCCGCCCGTCCGTCGCCGGCAGCAAGACGGGCCCTCCAGATACGTCCATGACTCTTGACCTCGGCAGCGTAGCCGATCAGTCTCTGCCTGTTGTGGCTTCGAAACTGGAACGGCTTTGCCGTCAACATTCCGTCCCTGATCATGAGCATCTGGCAGCTCTCACTCGTAGTAGGGTCCTCAGTGATCTATCCAACTCGGAGAAACGACAAGACTTGCTGAGCATCCGACTGCTGGCCATGGCCACTTATGGTAAGTTGTCCGCGTCGTTCTGGCTGACAGGCAGTCTACTACACTCCAGAGCAGGCCGTTCAATCCACCGTGTTCTTGTACGAGCCACGCCTTGTCAGCCAGCTTGTGGATCTCGTCCGCGCATATACCCCAAGCACTGCCAAGGTGACAACCAGCGCGCTTCTACTCCTAGACGCATGCGCCCATCACCGTTCTAGAGCTTCGGAAGTATGTGGCTATGTAAGCGGTAGCACGAGTCGGGGCGCTCTCATCACTCTCCTTCGTCATATCACTTCGGATCTATCAGCGGGTGGCGAGTTCTGTCTTGTTCACCACATTACGTGACCGCTGATAGACAGATGAGCCATCCCCTGATCTCATGGATGCTACTTTGACCCTCACTGCCTTAGTCTTGTCCACCCCGACGTTCGCCAGCATGCTCGTGGGTGCGGGGATCTTGCCGATACTGCTCGATATCGTCCGCGCCAAGAGCTCGCGACGGGATAATGTGAGCTTTTTAGATGTGATGACATGCTAAACCGGCAGTATACACCTCGTGCTGTCGGGCTGATCGAAACGGCTATCTATTCGACCTCGCAAGGGCTGTCCATGTTCAGCAATGCGGACGGGATCAATGTGCTTGTCACATGCATCAAGGTCAGTCTGCACCATGACCTGGGCCTATGACAGTCGCTCACTCGCAGTCTGAAATTGAGATCTTATTGACATGTGAACGACCAGAGCCTTCAGATACGGTAGCGGAGGGTGAGCCTTTGTTGTATGTTCTTTTCTGACGACAGACACCATCACCTTCTACACGACGCAGCCACTCCGCTCGCTACTTCGCTCGATCCAGCGCTTGATGCAGGCCTCTGGCGGCACAGAAGGCTTACGGAATTTGGTGGATTCGGATATGCCCAAGTCGCTCAAGACCATCTTCTGCCAGCCAGATCGGTTTGGGCCTCGTGTGTATGCTCTAGGTGGGTCAGAAGAAGCTCGCAGAACCGTTCTGATCAGAGTAGCTGCCAATATTATGGCTACATTTGTTAACAACGAACCCACCTCCCTTGCTGTCTTGCAAGAATTGCAACTACCCCACGATCTGTACGCACAGTTGGAGTCTGCGCCACTCACGACTTACGAGGTGAGCATCTTTCTCCTCACATAGGCAACTTGGCTCTCTGACGATCAGGCGTTAAGCGGCGTAGTCAATGCTGTGGGAGCTATCTGCCTCAATCAGACCGGACTGGACATGACTATCAACACGCCCGCCGTTCTTCAGACAATTGTTGAGAGCTCCTTGCGCTTGTCGGACGACGACAGTACGGCTTCAGACCGAGAACCCGTGGCCATGATGGGAGGCTGTTTGGACGAGCTCAAACGGCACCATCCAACACTCCAGCCCTTGATACTGCAGACGGTGGTGGACGGTTTCCGCAAAGCATTGAAGGACGGCTCGTCATTCGTGCCAGATCCGGATAGCCGGCAGCAATATCTGCTCGAACTCTGGCCGGAGAACAGCAATACCTCCAGCGCAGCACTGCAGCCACCTCTGAACGATGCGTCTAGGGCCATCGCTAAGGCACTGAGGGTGAGCGGACGCGCTCCAGTTGCTCAGCATGACTGACCATCAGCTACTCGAAGGTATACTGCGAAGCGGAAACGCTTGTCAGGAGTTCGTCAATATTGATGGTCTTGATCTCATCTTCGAGGTCGCGCAATCTCCCTGCCTTCCTATCCGCTACGGATCTTCCGGCGTTGCAATCGCTCTCACTCAACTGTGCAAGACCATGGTCGAGCGCGAACCGGCCCGACTGATCGAAGCATCCGTGAACTCCATCAAGTCAAGCCTGCACGAATGTCAGCCGCTTTGGTCGGAGGATACTTGCTCCGACCTGTGGCAAGCTATGGATACTAAGTCCGACCCTCTTATAGGCGATCACTTGAGAGCAATTCGACGTCTGATTATCCGAATCACAACCTTGAACGACATATTAGGATCGTGTTCGTCCATCATCAAGTCTGACGCCTCGTTCGTCAAGGCCCTTGGGGTTCGTTCCGACCCGTCTTTCTTTCTTAACCTAGGCGCCATCCTCCGTGTTTGCTCTCGGCAGCACGTTCTCTTCCAATCATCCTCGTCAAAGGGCTTCCCTACGCCAAACAAAGTCGGCTTAGATTGTCTGGGATTCAACGAACCTTCGCTGGGCAAGTTGTCCGGGGCGAGGTTCCTGGCCTCGAGAGCGACGACTGCCATCACAAAAATGCTAAAAAGTGAGCTGCAGCGGACGAAACAGGCTGACATTCAGCGATATACAAACTGGTTGGGCTCCGGCATCCTGTCGACTTTGTACATAGACGCGAAGCGGAACTTCTTTGTCGTGCCATTGCGCAGATCATGGTGGATCACTTACAGTGTACGTGAACATGTTTCCGCCTGTTGGTGAGCTCATCACTGCAGACATTGGCGAATCCGGGAGAAGCAATTTCGGCGACGATGTGATGAGCATCGGCATCGTCTCTATGCTTTTGTTGGACGGTGAGCTGTCGGCCACGGCCTGATGAACGCGACTGACAAGTCAGATCGTGCTTTTGAAGGCCTCGCTCAAGTGGCCCTGCTGGAGTTCTTCGACAAAGTGGACGGGCTTCAAGAGCTGGAACGCACAATGGGAAGAGTCTTGTCCCACGCGGAATCCGAAGCAAGTGCTTCTGATCTCTTCGGAACCACGACCGCACATACCTGTAGTGGGGTCCGTTTAGTTGTGCTCTTATCGGCCTCCCTGACTTCAACGAGTGCTCTGCGGGATCTCCCATACACGATGACCATGGCTCCCAACGTCAGCCCCGAGGACTTGTTGGTCAAGTTGAGGTATACATTCTTTCCTCTAGCGAAACTGCTCTGGGAGGCGCAATGGCTGGCCAAAAGCAGCCCATCACTCATCAGATCTATCGCTCAGTTATACCTCGGGATCATGGAAGGCAAGTCAGAGTCAAAACGACCGTTATCCGAAGTGGACAATCCTGCCAACATCGTGCCGCCCGTACCCCCTGTGCCTACTCGACCACCAACAGCCGATCCTACTCGAGTGCAACAGCTGGTCGACATGGGTTTTGTCAGAGCGGCGGCGGAATCTGCACTTCTACGGTCTCGCAACAATGTAACGGTGGCCGCCGATCTGATCCTTCGCATGCCCCTCGCTCTTCAAAGCGAGGCTCGACGCCCTGCCGTTGAACCAGCCGCCAATCCGACTGCTGCTCCCGATCAGCCTGGTCAACTGGCTGGTACCGTTAACCCAAATGCCGAAGATCCAGAGGTCCCCGTCGCAGCTACAAACGAGGCGACCGACAGTACAGAAGACGCAACCTCGGAGACCGCGGCCGAAAAGAATCATTTGACGTCAGAGAAAATGGAAGAATGTCGCAAAGTGCTTGAAGAACTTCGTCAAGACGGTCGTCCCAAAGTTGCCTCGCGAGTGCTAGAATTGGTGGATGTGGCGGAGGAGCTGGTGTTTGATTTGATCTCGGCGATCCCTGAAGGGTTACCAGGACTTACCCTGCTACTCCAGAGAGCTCTGGATTGCATCACAAATGAGATTCTCGAGCGCGACAAAGTCCAGTCCGCTCGGCTTCGCATCCTGGCCGTTTTCTTGTCAGGTGGTTACCGATGTCGATTTGATGAAGCAACGCTTACAATGGCCAATCAGCTCTTTTCGTCGCTGCAGTTCGATGCTCTACCGCGACCTACTTGGATACCTCCAATGCTATTGGTCGCCCAGGCTATGTCCCTCCTGGTCACTGCTGTCTCGAGCGTTCGTGTAGGTGAGCCACCCGAAACTCCTATCGTCAAGGAGCCGAACCCTTTTGACACGGCTCGAAAGCATATCATCGACCTATGTTTCAACATTGCCTTGGATTCAAACGCAACTCCCAATGAGCTTCTCTCGGCACTGCGCTGTCTGGCTACTTTTTCCAGAGACTCGGACCTTGGATTTTCGTCGGACAGAATCGGAGCCCTGCTACATTTGCTACACGCCAAATCTCCGGTCAGCGGGGTCCAACAGCTTTTGTTATTGATTTTACGACATACTTTTGAGGACGCGACGACTCTGCGCTCCTTCATGACTCGCCAGGTCAGACAATGGTTCAGTATGGTAAACAAGGTCAGTGATGTCACGCATTTCGTCCGTCAACTCCGACCCGTAGCCCTCCGCGACCCGACCCTATTCGTGTCTGCCGTGGAGCAAGAATGCCAGCTGCTCGACCCTCAACCGCCTCAGTCAGTTTTTCATCTGAGGGCCAAAGATCCGTCAGATCCATTGAGCGTCGCAAAACCCGAAGATCCCTTCCTTGTGACTTCCACTGCCGTAAGTAGTTCCTCCATCATGGAACGACTGGTCAACGAGCTCGGCAAATCCATTGGCAGTTACAAAGATATGGTCAAATCATCCACTCCGAACAATCCAGAAGTCCATCGATCCATCGGAACCCTCCTGTCGACCGTCACGGAGCTTGTGGGATCGTATATGCAGGCTAAACAGGCTTTCCTCGCCTGTCCCGTCGTCATCAAAGGCCATGAAGGTGCGAAGCGTAGAAGCAGCGTGGGTACGATCATTCATCAGCTCGTGTGTTATGTTAGTCTGGCCGACGATGTGGCTGCCGATGCCAAGAGCTCCCCTTCGATGTGTCTTGCCGTCTCCTCCTGGGCGTCGGCTTTACTGGTCGCTCTATGCTCTGACGTGATCCCGATAGCCAACGCAAAAGACATTGCTGAGGAACTCGGTCCGATCCGCAAGACTGTGCTGGACGAGATTGCTCGAGCTATCAAAGAATCGACCGCAGGAAACGAGGAAGTCGACCGTCGATACGGAAGTTTGTGGGCGTTGAGTGATCTCGTCTGCCGTCTCCTGTCGCCAGACTCTGCCGGGAACTCACAGCGTCTTCGCCAGGATGGATCTGTAGCGAAGGCAATGCTGGAGCGAAATTTCGTGGCGCTTCTAACAATGGCCACTTCAGACATGGATCTGAATTACCCTGACATCCGCTTGGTGCTGACGTCACTACTGCGAGCGGTTGATCATCTGTATGTCCTCTTTACTTCCTCGGGCTCAGCTAACAAACATCAGGTCGAAACTTTCAATCAAATGGGGCAAAGTGGACATGCTCAACGCGAAGATCACTGATATCCCTGTGGAAGAAGATGATGACAGCGAGAGCGATTCTGCCAGTATGGATGATGACTCTGACGTAGATATGGGAGAGGGAGTGGAAGTTTTCAGGAATTCGGCTCTGAACATGTACGTTACTGGCAACTCGTTGAAGTGTCTTACGCTTCAGGTACGGCGATCCCCAGGAGGAGGAAGACGACGAGGAGATGGAAGACGACGATGACGAAGATGTGAGTCGTAAAAACCACATACGAGTAGCTAAGCTAACAATGCAGACGGATGGTCAAGATGAGGAGGTGAGCGATCTACAACCTGTACCATCGAAATGAGGACTACTGATATCAAGGACACCGACATGGCCTCTACTGTCGAAGACTCCGGAGTGAGCTGAGCCATTGGCTTCTCGATCATTTCATTCCAAGCTGACTTCAGACCGACGAGGATGATGACGAGATGGATGACGATGAGGAAGAGGAGGACGATGAAGACTATGATATGGATGACGGCGATGTCATCATCAATGAAGAAGTGGGTGACGCGGGACATGAGGTCTGGAATGTACGTATAAGTCACGCTATGGCTCCCGCTGACGATCAGGATGAGATGATGGAGGAAGAAATGACCGAAGACGGTGAGGCGCGTGGCACTGAGGATGGTATTGGTAGGTGGGATCTTCTTTTGCAAGGACTTATCTGATCCATCAGACGTGGACGAAGACGGCATGATGGAGGTTGTCGAAATGGGTCCTGACGATGACTTCGATGAAGAGTTGTAGGTGTCCACTGGGATTCCCGCCTGCGGCTCGCTGATTTGTTCTTGCAGCTACGAAGAGATGGATCCTGTCGACCCCCTATTGATTGGAAGACAGCGCTCCTCTCTTTTCACCCACGAGCATGCGGAGAACGGCGAGTGGGGTTGGCAGGTTGCTGGAAGCGACCGTGCTACCAGACAGTTCTTTCGCGTTGCGAACCGCCTATCGGGTTCGTGTCTGAAGCGTCTGTAGTACGTGCGCTCATCAACAGGAAACGATGCCGACCTGGGTCCTTTTGGGCAAGGCATAAGACAGAATCATCCCCTTGATCATCCATTGCTTGCCGATCCCGGCGGTGGAACTCGTTCGCAACAAACTCTTCCTCCGGCGCTCAGCAGCCTGCAAGATAGTCTGGCGGGGCTTCCCGGCATCTCTGCTGAAGAAGCCGTCTTCCTCCTCCAGCATCTTGTCCGACACGTTCGACACGGCGAAATGGATTCAATCAACATCGATTTAGCCCATCTGCCCGACGGTATGGAAACGGTACACCTGTCCATCAACGGCAGACCTGTACCTGTTCCCACCCGACAGTCTCGGCGTACCACGTCTTTCGAATCCTTTGAAGCTGCTTTAGGTCCGGTCCCCAAGTCGACTGCTCAGCGTTGGCATGATGAACTCAGCCTCTTCCCAGGCGCTGTTGGTGATCAGATCTCGGACATTGTCAATCACATCGTTAACCGACTACTTCCTCCAGCTCGATTGAAGGCGGAGGCCAATCAGCCTCCGCAAGCGCCTGAAGATCCGGTCAGTGAACGTCCTTCCGACACCGTCCAAGAGCAAACAGCTCCCATCCCAGCTCCCAATCCTGAGACAAACCACCACTTAGTCGATCCTGGAGTGGCTTCACCGACTTTCGCGGGAAACATCGAGGTTCAAACGCTGCCTTCTGATGCCGATATCGAGATGACAGAACAAGGAGGAGAAAACTCGTTGCCAGCAGACACTCAGCCTACAGCTACAGACGACGCCTCAGCCGAAAGTGATGCACCTCAAGACATCTCCAGCACGAATGAAGCCCCAGAGCATCGCGGGGAGGATCGCACGGAGAATCCGGTTAGCGACAGCTTGGCTCGGGTGACAATCGACATTCACGGGCAACCTGTCGACATCACCGATGCTGGAATTGATCTGGACTTTTTGCTCGCCTTGCCAGACGACATGAGAGCAGACGTTGTAGAGCAGCACATGCGTGAGAGAAGTCGGGCGTCTCGTCAGGTTGTTCCCAATCAAGAGGAGATCGAGTCGCAGATCAGTCCCGAATTCCTCAACGCTCTGCCACCAGACATTCGAGCCGAAGTTTTGATGCAAGAAGCACTTGAGCACGCTCGACGTTCTCAGCCTCAGCAACAAGCTCAAGATCAATCACGCACTCCGTCCGCCCTCCTTGCCGCTTCCCAATCAGGCATAGGACGTGATCTGGCAGACGTTCTCCTCATGGATCCCGGCTCTCGGCGCCGCCTCAGGACCTGCTGGCGTGATGCGACCACGCGACGCCGTTCCCGAAGGACTCCCGAAGGCCGCTCAGCGTGCGAAGCGGGACGCCTTGCAGCTTTTGGACAGAGCGGGTGTTGCATCTCTCGTCCGCCTCTTGTTCATGCCCGAAGTCATGAAGAAGCCGTACTTGCTCCGGGTGCTAGTCAATCTCTGCGAGAACAGTACCTCGCAGACCGACATCCTGAATTGGCTTCTGTCCATACTCCACGACGGTACCGGAGACTTGCTCATAGTCGACCGCAACTTTCAACAAATGTCAATCAAATCTTCGACTACAACTCCATCTAGCAAATCCTCGCCCATGTCTAAGCTTCCCGTGTCACCCATGCCTGGTAGTCTGCGTTCTCTCCCACAACTTCCTGCAGATCATATCCCTGCGTTCGTCGCTTTGCGATGCCTCGATGCTCTCTCACACATCGTCGGTATCAATTTCCAAACGGTCGACTACTTTCTCACGGAGCAAGACTTGCCAACCGGTAGCAAGAAGCCTGCGTCCAAGAAATCAAAGGGCAAAGAGCGCCAGCTCCCGCAGACCAAGTACCCCATCGTTTTGCTCATGGGGCTTCTTGATCGATCTTCACTCCTTCAAGCTCCCGGTGTGCTGGAAAGTTTGACGGGCGTGTTGGCCACGATCACCAAGCCCCTGACATCTCCGAAGCCCGTTGACAAGTCCACAGATCCCCAGGTGACACTTTCAGTTCTCCCGAGTCCCGGCGGTCCCACATCAACAACAACGCCTGGACATGCGTCGGGGGACTTGACAAATCCAAGCGAAACTCCAATGGCTTCACAGACTCCTCCCGATGGTGCTGCAAACAGACCTTCCATCATCCCCTCGTCCATCCTCCGCCTTCTCCCGAACTGTCTTACCATCGGGGAATGCTCTGGCCGCACTTTTGGACAAACGCTAGCGGTGATGCAAAACTGCTCAAGTCTTCCGGATGGCAAATCTGTCCTCGTTCAGGAGCTCAGTAGGCGTGCGCAAGTACTTGGCGCAGCCTTGTTGGCTGAACTGAGACGAGTCTGCGCTTATCTCGCGGACGAGGGCAAAAATGTTGATGGTGTACCCCTTGACGCATTTTCCACTCCTTCCTCCAACCAAGCGCAGCTACTACGCTTATTGAAAACCATCGATTTCCTCCATGTGAAGAAGAGCGATACCGACGATCCCTCGGCAGGCAAGTCGGCCGAGGAGAAAGCTGCCACCGAGGTCTTTGTTGGCTTTGACTTTGATGTCATGTGGACACAGCTGAGCAGGTGTCTCAAGCTGGCGGAATCGAGAGATGCGGCGGAGAATGTCGCGATGATATTACTGCCGCTCATCGAAGCGCTCATGGTGGTCTGCAAGTATCGCGATACTTCTCGCACGACCCGTTCTCCCTCGGTACCACCACCTTCGGCCACGAGTGAGGACCTTTTCGTCTCCTTCACCACGGCCCATAGGAAAATTCTCAACACGATTGTCCGAAATAACCCATCTCTATTGGGTGGCTCATTTTCCCTCCTCATCCGAGATACTCGCATCCTTGAGTTCGATAACAAGCGCAACTGGTTTTTCCTCAAGCTTAAGCGCAAACGAGAACCAGGTGTACCCACAAGTGTTCTGCACCTCAACATCCGCCGTCAGTATGTCTTTGAAGACTCATTCCACGCGCTGCAACGCCGTAAAGGAGACGAGATCAAGTATGGTAAATTGAACGTGAGGTTCTACAATGAAGACGGGATCGATGCAGGTGGGGTTACTAGGGAATGGTACAGTGCACTGGCTAGACAGATCTTTGATCCCAACTTTGGTGAGCTTTCATGTCTCTTGCAACTCTCCATGGTCGGCGATCAGCTAACAATCAAGCTCTGTTCGAGCCCTGTGCAGCAGACGATCGCACCTATCAGCCGAACAAGGCGTCGTCCGTGTGAGTCTGTCTCTTTCCACAAGGCTGTCCCTGATACACAGTAATCACGACCATCTTGCCTACTTCAAGTTTGTCGGTCGAGTGATAGGGTATGTTGTCACTTTCTACATGGGCTGACCGTGCTGACACATGCCTAGAAAAGCTATCTACGAGTACGTTGTTATCACTTTCCTTGAAGTGCCGTGGCTGACGGATCCACAGTGGGCGGCTTCTTGATGCCTACTTTAGTCGAGCGTTCTACAAACAAATCCTTGGCCGCTCGGTCGATATTCGAGACATGGAGAGCATTGACCCAGAGTGCGTCCACCAACTATGAGTTTACATGGGACATGTTCTGACTGACAGATATCACAAATCTCTGCAATGGATGTTGGAAAATGACATCACGGGTGTTATTGATGTGCGTCTTTGTCTTCCTTGGGGGTATCAGAGGCTCATGTTGCAGCAAGAGTTCACCATTGAAGATGACCAGTTTGGCGAAAAGCAAGTCGTCGAACTGAAAGATGGCGGCGCCAGTATCCCGGTGACTGAGGAGAACAAAGACGAATACGTCCGATTAGTGGTGTCGTACAGACTCCACAACTCTATCAAGGAGCAGCTCACTGCCTTCTTGGACGGATTTTACGAGTATGTCAGCATAGCTTTTGAGGGAATTGTACGCTTATCGGGCAGCGTCGTACCGCGCCATTTGATAGAGATCTTTGAGCCCGATCAATTGGAGCGTGAGTACTTTCTTATTCATGAAAGGTAGTCCTCCTGACCACAGTTCTCATATCCGGAATCACGACAATTGATGTGGACGAGCTCAAAAATGCGACGCAGTGAGTGAATCTCTCACATCATCGCGGCAGTCCGCTGATGGTCTCAGATTGAGTGGATGGAAGACGGATGACGCCGACGTCGCTTGGTTTTGGCGAGCGCTTCGCAGCTACTCTCAAGAAGAGCGCGCTCGCTTCCTCATGTTTGTCACCTCGTCATCCCGGGTCCCTCTTGGCGGCTTCACCCAGCTACAAGGTTCATCAGGAGTTCAGCCGTTCCAACTACAGAGGGTGAGTCACCGTTCCGTGTGGTATAAGGCCACCGACTCGGTCGCATGCTGATTCCACAGTTGTACGGCAAGGACGGTAGCCTCCCTCAGGCCAGCACCTGCTTCAATCTTCTACTCCTCCCCAAATACGACTCATACGAGCAGTTGCGTGAAAAGCTCTTGTTTGCCATCACCGAGACTGGCGGGTTTGGCAAAGCGTAATCTCCCACATGATTGCATTGTACATACACAGCTAAATTTGATGCATATACATTCGAGGATCTTACCAACTCTTTCTTCGGACCATAGGGGAAACGTCCTGGCCATATCAGACTTGGAGTACTCGTACTCATGCACACACGAGCCTCGAACAAACGCGACATTCGAAAATCTTTCACTTATAGATAGGTACCCTGTCACAAGGACGGGCTCGGTCCGCCCAAAATTCCCCAAAGTGGCAATTGTCCCGCTTCTGATAATCTGCGTCCTAATGAGTCCGCCTGCATTTCCTAATTCAATTAGAAGAGCTATGTCGTATAATTGAAGTTATGCTGCCAATTGCCCTTTAGTTATACGACATTGTTTTCTTAATGCATTAGTAATCTTTTTCAAGCAGTCAATGATACAACTTCTCTTGAAGTAGTTCTTCTTTTCGTTCAATCTCAATCCTTTGCTGAAGTCTCTATATTCAAGTATCACTATGCCTCGTCATCTTAAAAGTAACCCACATTCAGAAATAACTCACCCTTATAACAATCCTCAAGCACAACATGTTATAGACGAAACAGTGGAGCTAGGAGAGTTTATTTTGTCTTCCAACAGTCGAAAACAATACAGCCCTCGACAACAAAGGTGGAAAGAGTGGGCTGATAAGCAAAACTTCTTTGAACGGTGAGTAAAGGACTCTTCCTTGCTCAAATTTGCTAATTCCTGCAACTCCTTGCTCAATTGTGCTATTTTGAGCGGACTCGTGTTTGATGAAGAAAGGAGGTGCCTTTATAAACAATCAAAGGATGTCAGCTGATCTATAGCGACATCGTTACTCCTCAACATGCGCTATTGTTTTTATATGAGGTTGTTTTGCAAGGAAAAGGCAAAAAACAAAAACATGTACTTTCTGCTGCTGAAATCGACAACAACATGCTAGATGAAGCGGAAATTGAACCAGAAGAACTCACGGTAGAGGAACGCCTCGAGGAAGTCTCAAATGATGATGAAAAACGAATTTTACATCAAACTCAAGCAGAAATCGACATGCTTTTGAAAACAGTTCCGTCTTCATCCAAAAATACAGCCAAATCAGGTAAATATCACTGATTCTAGAACAGTAAATAGCTAATGGGCAAAGCTTTAGACGTTATTTTAGATTGTACAATTAGTCCTAGCACTATTCTATCATGGGTCGCTGCTCTTGTTAATCTCTGGCAACAACAATCAAAAAGAGGAATCAACAAGACTTCTTCGCCCCGTAGCATCTACGTTATGATAATTGTGAACATATTAATCAAATTTGACCAACGTAGAAAGAGATTAATGTTCGCCGACAAAGGAAAACGTAAGTGCACATATTTTGCTTATAAAACGGTCAGCATTGATAAGTAGAGCTTTATTATGATGGCTATGAAAGTACAACGCAATTAAAACGTTCTTTTGAGCATTACATGGCTCGAAATAACGAAGAGGGTATCAGAGATGCTTTAGCGCAATCATTAGGAATATTTGGCATGTTAAGAGGTGATAACCAGCGCAGTTTACTCTTATCGGACATATCCTCTGAAATTTCTAGCAGAGAAGGCCCGACGTCTTGTTTATTCGTTGTATTGGTCATACAATCAAGCAAAACAAACTCCTCCGGTAAACCTCAGTACACTGCGTTTATCAGAAACAAAGATTTAAGAATATGTCCTGTCTTCCACTTAAGTCTTTACTTATTTGCACGGTAAGCCGTATTTAAACCCAAGTACTCGATATATACTAAATTCCAGCTTTTATTGTGGCTCTTCACCCGCAGGATTTCCAGATATGTCAGCAAGAGCTAAATGGTACGATTTACCACTATTATGTGATGGTAAATTACGAACAAAACCGATTTCATACCATACTCAACGAAGAGCAGTTAGTGATGCGCTACACGCCGCCAACGTTCACACATATCAAAAAACACATATAAATAGACGTTTTGGTGCTCGTTTAGCCGAACAAGGGGGTGCAACATCAGAGGAAATTGCACGAGCCGGACATTGGGCACATTCAGTTCTAGAAAATCACTATTTAACGCATATTCCTCGTCGACCGGTGCGAACTCTTGCTGGTTTTTCTATTGAGGGCAATAGTTTCTTTCTTTCGAGAGATATTTCGCCTCCTGCAACCCTTCTACGCAAAGTTTTTCCTGAAATTGAGAAATGGTGAGCTTAAATCGCGATTTGATTCCCACTCTTGCTAGTTTGTGCTAAAATTTGCTATTTTGTGCTCTTGCTGACTCTCAAAGGATAGGAATTCTCGATTCTAGCGTACGTCCGGAAGAAGAGCTTACTAGTCGAATGTTTCTTCAAACAATGGGTCATCTCCGTGAATCATTTCTACAAGATATCGTACACGTTCGCAAATGGTTTCCATCGCTTTACATTTTCAATCATCCTCTTTTCAAAGACGAAGAGTTCTTATCCTTTGAGGAACAAGCGATTACTAGAACGATTGCCAATGAAAACAAATATGATGATCGTATTGCTCAAGCTTTGCCAATTTTACATGACATTCTACAAACTCAAGCTCAAGCACAACAACAAACGTCACATGATATGGTTTCACGCATTGAAGAAGTAAATAAAAGCCAAAGACAAAATAACGAGAAAATTCAAGCCGTCTTGAATGGAATTGCGTTAATACAAAACGGTCTTAGCAGTCCACTTCTTTTTCCGCCAATATTTCAGTCTATCTTACGTGAAAATCAGTCTTCGAACTCCGGATTGGCAAATACAAACGAAGCAAGCACTTCTTTGACGACTTTGCCAAATGAACAACCTACATCTCCTATTGCAAACTCGTTCTTGTCAACTACATCATCATCTTCCCACAATATGAACGTTCAAACCTCCATTCAAACCAGTCTGCTATCACCATTTACTATGAGTAGATCAGTTCAAACAGTTCAGGAATTATGGCAAGAGTATCTCTTTGGCATTAATGGTCGCCCATCAATTAAAAGTCAGTACGAAGATAACCCTAATGGACTGAAGAATGCAAGCGAGACCAAAAAACGTTTTTATAGGAGACGTATCAGCATTATTCGAGCAGTTTGACGTTTAGGTGAGACAAGAGCAATAGAAGATGTTGAAGCAGCGAAGATTTGGGATAAACATAGACATACTTTACCAAATCCATCTTTAGACGCCTTACAACATTGGTTGAGTAAAGCATCTGCCGAAGAACTCATATCTGTTTAGTATTGTACAGTAATGTATCTTCTCGTGTAGCATTACCTTTGCATAAATTTTATTCTGCAATTTCCTGCTAATTTTTGCTCATTCTTGCTACTTTCTGCCAATTATTGCTCGTGAGTGCTAACTGTGGTTAAAATTTCTTTACTCGTAGCCAAGGGCGTTGTAGAACAGTCAAAGGAGTATGAAACCTCACAACAGACATATAACCTGCAGGAATTAGGACCACGTTGTTGTTTAGAAAACGTCCCTGCAGGAATCAACAATTTGATCCGTTTTACGGTTTCATGTATTTAAGACGTGCTAAAAACGATAGACTTGAGACAGTGTAAATCAGGGTCTGTAAATCAACGTAATTTACGTCCTCAAACCATTAAAACGAGGGTATGCATGTCGTTGTCAAGGGTAAGTATCCTTTGGTTGTCAAGGAGAGCCAAATGGTCAATTTGCTGGTTGTCACATATACCAGGTCGTTGTCATGAGTTCTTCCCCACCTCTTGTCAAATTTTAACGTCTTACATTACTTTACCACACTGACATTTGAATTTTAAGCTTCTTGAAAAGATATCATGTCGAACCCACCTACTCCTCCTGCTACTTTGAAACAACTTGTTACGTCTAAGCCCGATTCACGTTAGTTGCTGCTTTTTCAACGTTAAGAGGTTAATTAATTCTAATAATTAGCGGAGTGGAGCGCCAAATTCGATTGGGATGGTATTGTTGCTTATCCTCTACGGAAATGGTCTGATACTGGTTGTAATGAGGTTCTTCGGGTTGCAGCTGGAGATAAAGGTCCTAAGATTGGAATTTCTCCTAATGAATCGTCAGAAGTTAGTGCTTTCGAGTCAATTTTCGTCAAAGTTGTGTTTATCTGACTCAATTAGTATAAAAATTACCGGGAGGCGTATAATCACGCTGTATCGCCTAATTCTCATGTCAGAATGGGAACATTTAGCTGTCAGTTGTGTCAAACTCGTCAAATCCGCGAAGTTACGTGTTCCTTCGGTTGTGTTACCGTCGGTGAGCTCCCTACGGGAGCATGTACAGAATGCATTGCGAGGGGTACGACAGCTCGCTGTACTTTTGTCGAAAAAGCGGAATACATCCTAGATCAAGCGAGCTTTGCAGGAAATATTCGAGAAGAGTTAGGGAAATTGAAGGCTATCGAAATGCAGGCTGAATTAGCGAGTGAGTACTTTTCGTTTCTAGATATAACTGCAAAGCTCAATTTCGAGCAACACATAATTATATGTTAGAACCAAAATCTATCTTATTTCAAAGTCAACATATCAGATCTAATATTGAGCAATTGATGGTGATTCATTTGCCTGATATGGCTCCCGAAGGTGTTGTTGCCCCCGATACTCCCCGTAAGCGTCGTCGTGCCCCTGTCGCAGCAACCTCTCCCTCCGAAGACACATAAGTTGTTGTATATCTCTATATGTATGCATCAATCACTCTTGAGCTCTCATCAACACAAACATTAGCAAAAATGAGCACAAATTAGCAAGAATCAGCAGTAGTTAGCAAGTTAGGACAGAGAAGAGTGAACGAGATGAATTGTTGGAACGCGTTCAGGTGGCAGCATGAGTCACAATTTCGTACATTCGGTTATCGACATGATACCCGGACCGGCCCTAGGACCCCCGTCCGGACTGACTCAGGGTCCATGTCGTATAACAAGTCATTCTCCGGTCCTGGAGTCTCACACACGCCTAGACCTTCACGGCACTCCTTCCCAGCACTCCTTCCCAGACTTCGAAGCATCCGTGTTCTGAGCCAATTGAACTGCACACTTCCAACCTTCCCTCTTTGCTGTTTCTGTCTCTCACGTCTCTGATAGCTCTTCTACAGTGACAGTCTTGGTATGCTTGGTCAAATCTTTCTCCATGTGGATACCTTGTCCCTTTTTATCATCCCTTGCTGCCCTGTCAAATTGTTCTGACACTCTCCAGAGCACTGCACCACTTTGTGAGCCGTGCTAAAAGCGCATACGGGAAAAGTAGGGGAAAAGTCTTGAAAGGTCTGTCACACCAAGGAAAAAGTGAGGGAAAAGTGTAATTGATCTATGAATCCTGGGATATAAGAGTGGACCACTTCCTCCTTCTCTCTGCAATTGACTTACTTCTCTACTTACCACTTTCAAGTACTGATCTATCACCTACATGTCTCACCTACTAATCAACACTAGCCTCTTGTCACGAGACATACTGACCAGCATATGCACGATATAACAGTGCCCAACGGAACAGTGATCTTAACCACTGCGACGAAAAGGCCTATTAATCGGCGGTTAACACTACCGCCGATCGCTGGTTAAATACCCTTCCCCGACTTTCGCTCGACTTGTCACACAATTTGTGACACCTCTGTGATAAGTAGTAGTCTCTCTCAATGACATTGACAATGAACCTCTGGTACTATCCATTGTAGCAAAGTGAAGTCATGCATCCATTTGTTGTTGTGTACCATCCATCACAAGCATCTGATACTAGTGACTTAACAATTGAGCCTGCCAGCCGGACTGACACAATCATGGCAATCTTTTCCCTTGGAGGAAAAGTGTGTGAAAAGGTACATGTCACACGCTTTTCACACATGGGTGAAAAGTTTCATCTCACAGGGGGAAAAGTAGGTGAAAAGGGGGTCATCACACACTATTCCCCCTATGCAACAGATCCACCTGCTACGAGGTGACTGCACCCTTCTCATGCAGTGCCTTCTAAGCCAACAGGTGTTCCAGTCCGCTTTTTGTCTTTTTTCACGTTTTCCCAGGGGTAATTTCACTACCGCTTATTGTCGAAAATGGTGCAATCGGTGACTGCCACATGGGAGCGCTATCACTATTTCCGCATATTCCCTTGTCTCATATATGACCTCTGTGTCGATATTGTACTCTTTATGTATTCTACTTCTACATCGGACAGGTTATGAGCCTGAAATGTTGCTCTTAAGACAACATCCAACTGCTCCTGACACCCCCTGTGGTCCCTCCAGCATGAGAATCAGTGAAAGTATCAGTAGAACTATCAGTCGAATCATCAACTGTCACAAACATCGGTTCTTCTTCTCTACTGACCGACGGTCGACAAACCTCGGCTAACTACGTCGTCTTGGGGCGTCAATGTCTCACTGAGACAGGGTACTCGTTGGGGAACTATGGCTAACTACGCCGTAGTGAGACGTCGAGTGATAAACAATAAGGTGATCATCGATGAACTGCGGCTAACTTTGCCGTGGTACGTCGAACTGCTGTGTGGTAGGTCTCCTTAACTCGAAGGTTGCAGCTACTGAATATATCTCTCGCTTCTGACAACAATCAAGGATCACTGAAGAATTTTAGCGATCCGTAAACTATCTATACTTCTCCTCTCTTCTCATAGAACATCCCTCAACTCCTGCACAGCCTCACACTTAGTCCTCTTCGTCCAACCTTGCCGTACCTCGCCATTGTCGGAAAATGGTGCCATCGGTATTTGCCACATTGTAGCGATATTGCTATTTCCGTGTATTCCCTTGTCTCATTTCTCACCTCTGTCAATATTGTAATTTCTCTTTATGCATTCTATTTCTACATCTGACAGGTTATGAGCCTGAAATATCACTCTTAAGACGACATCTAATTGCTCCCGACACCCCCTGAGGTCCCTCCAGCATCAGATGGACATCATGCTTTGGAATTGTTCACCGTAGATTTCAGTGACATCATACTTAGGCATAAATCTCACCTAATAAAAGTGTAGACTTCACCGAGCAAAACCGTCTTCGAAGATGTTGTTGGAAATCTCATTGGGAAATCATTCGTGCTGATGTCTATATAAGCCGGCCATATTCTGTAGTTTCCCCATCAATGGATCTCTTTTCCTCTTGTTCTAATATTACTGACTTTTACAGTTAGAATAGGAAATTTGTCACTCAGTTGGGGTTAACTTAACACTCTCAGTCCCCTCAGTATCTAAGGTAAGGCAAGCCCGAGACTAACCCCTTCGGTACTCAAGGCAGTACTTTGCAACCGCAGTCTACCCGCAGGCGTGACACCACTTCAAATGTTCGCTATTTGCTTCAAATTGTGTTTCTCGCTCTATCTCCACCAATACTTCTCGTATTCTTGATATCTCTTTGTATCCTGACAGAACGTGACTGCTTCCACCTTTACCAGAATAGACAGACCAACAGCATCGAGGAATGGCAAGATACAGCAAAAGTGAAAATTTTCAACTCCAATACCACTCTTTCAACTTGGAAATCACTTTTTCTACACAACTCAGTCTGTCTTGCATGAGATACATCACTCTTAGTGTCACGAGGACCAACTAACCAGCATTGGCTCGATATAACAGTGCCCAATGTGACAGTGATGTTACCCACTGTGACAAAAAGGCCTATTAATTGGTGGTTAACCCTACCACCAATCGCTGGTTAAATACCCTTCCCCGACTTTTGCTCTACTTGTCACACGCTTTGTGACACTTAGGATCATTGGAAAAGGGCAAATAGGAGCTACATAGATCAGCAGAGAGATCGAAGTTTGGAAGAGCGGTTGGGACGGGAGATCAATTACAAAGTCGGAATTTTTGTGAGCAACAATAAGACATCTTCTACACTCACAAACCGAATTTTTATTGCGGGCGTCAGCTCGCAATTCTATAGGGGTGAACACGGAATCAATTTCTACGCAGTGCCTGACTTTTTTTCCCAATCGCTCATTGGTTCATCACCATCACTCACCAATCACCATCACTCACCATCACTCACAGCGACAGCGAGCCTACGCTAGACGCACCGTTCTCCATTGCATGCCTAGAACACGGAATCAATTTGCTAGCACCCGTGGATAGAGATTTCTAGCAGCTGATTGGTCCATTCCGCCACTTGCCAGCGTAGTCGCAAGCCTAACAAATTGAAAGCAGAGCTTCCCCTTGCATGCCTATGCCATATCACCACCAACAAGCATAGTCCCAGTCTGGTTGAGCGAAAGAGGATGCATGGTACATGGTACATATACAGGAAAGACCTGATACTGAAACTGTTGGTGGTGATGTTGGTGATCTGACAGTCAAGTTCAACTTCCTTCCTTACCTACCTGGCCACTTGCTTCTTCTTCCTCTTTGACTGTTCATCAAGGTAAGTTACAGGACAGGTTCATTGTGTCTGTCTTCTATCATCCCCACTTATCATCGTCTGCTTTGGCTCTCTTGACTCCATTTGCAGTGTTTGAGTGCTTGACTTGGAAGTGTGTTTGTCAATAGGCGCTGATTTAACAGATTTTGCTTCTATCCTCATACATTATACTCAGCAGTTCACTCCATCCCCCTCTGCATCTCATGCACCATTCCCTTCCTCTCAAACCAACTTCTAGCTGACTTGCCCCACTATACACCGTGCACTTCACTGGAACCGGACGCTCGCTTTCGATCGCCTCTCGAGTCGATAACCTAGTCCTCTTTACCTCAATTCTGCACCGATTCCATCGCTCTCAACATTTCCTGAATTGCCCCACCGTGATCTCTCTAGATATACAACCAGATCTAATTTTGGTGTAACGGTTAAACCAGCGGACCAAAATTCCAAAATCAAAATTTCCAATATCAGCATCTGTAACCCAAATTCGATTTTTTGTTTTCACTTTCCCAATTAGCCACCAGTTCTATCGCTCTCTGTCTTTCCTACATTCCTCCACCACGCTTTATCTATATCTAAAATCAGATCGTAAATCAGAGCAGTGCTTGAAGCAGGAAATCAAAAATTTGAAATCAGAAAGTCCAACCACTTCATTGCAACTTGAAAGTTTTGTTTTTGACCTCATTCCATCAGTTCTCATTGGAATTACCTAATCTTTTCACCCGCTCCTGTTTGCAACTACCAACTATTTGTATCAAAAGACCAACCGAAGTTTGGATCACTGCTTGAAGAGAAAATTGAAACATTACAAAATCGAAAACTTGGTACCTTCTTTTATTCCCTCACCACTTTTGAATTTTTCACATGTCTTATTCCTCAAACCCACGCTTTACAGCAAGCCTCTGGTATTGGTATCGACGCTCTTGGCTGGGAGTGAAGGCAAGTCCTGCAGAAGCGCAGGTGAAAAGTCAGAATTGTCGGAAATAGAGCAATCGGTAACTGCCACATTGGTGCGCTATCACTATTTCCGCGTATTCCCTCGTCTCATATCTAATCTCTGTCAATATTGCACTCTTTATGCATTCTACTTCTACATCTGACAAGAATCACTTGCACACTTTTCGCTTTTTCTCTCATTCATTACTCCTTTCTATTCCTAAAACCGGACCTGCTTAATTGTGGGAGGTGCATTGTGTATTGAAATTGAATAAGATACAGTGGTGTAGACAGATCTGGACAACCCAGTGGCGCAACTCAGAGTCCTAGGACATACCAAGTGCACCTCGCAATCAGCTGAGTCACTCTGAGAGTCTATGTCAGATGTAGAAAGTAGAATGTATAGAGAGAAACTACAATATTGACAGAGGTGAGAGATGAGACGAGGGAATAGCGAAAGCGCTCCAATGTGGCAGTTACCGATTGCTCCATTTCCGACACCCCCACTCAAGCGAATCTGCCACATACCACTAATAACTCCCTCAGTCTATTGAATGTATCTGAGGGAAGAGCCTTAGTCAACAAGGCAGCCATATTCTCTGCTGAGGGAATATGTGACAGTGTCACAAACTATGTTGTGACACCTCAGATTCCACCAGCAATGACCCTCCTTTGACCATCAAAACCCCCATCATGTCTTAACCTTGTCACCCCACACGTAACTTAGGACATCTGAGCCCAAGTACGGCGAAGTTAGACGGTGTTAGGAAAACCAGGGACAATGGGAGCAGAAGTACGGCGAAGTTAGGCGGAGTTAGGTGAACTAGGGACAATGGGAGCAGAAGTACGGCGAAGTTGGGCGGAGTTAGTCAAAGGACGGGGAAAGACGGCCGGGACCTCGGGAAGTTGGACGAAGTGCGTTGAAGTACGTCTAAGCGCGAGAGGGTTGGGTGAAGATCTAGGCGGAGTAAATAATATTAGCTGAGAAGATCGCTGAAGTTCTTCAGCAATCCTTGATTGTTGTCAGTAGTGAAAGACAGATAGAGATAGCTATATACAAATTGAGATACATTGCCATCAGTAGAACAAAACCCCAGTTAGAGTAACTACGCCGAAGTACGCCGTAGTTACACTCCTTTCGACGTCTGCGCCCTCCTGGTTGGGTGAGACATCGACTTAGAAGCGCCAAGTTATCCAAGGTTCGTCGACCGTCAGTCTGTTAGAGAGTAGTCGTTCGACGGCCGTGACAGACAGAGAGACAGTGTTGTCTTCAACTTTCTCCCGGATATATGATGTCGCAGGTCAATATGTTTTGTCTTGTTATGATGAACTGGATTCTTGGCAAGAGCTATAGTTCCCGCATTGTCATTGAGAAGTTTCAAAGGTTCTTGACCAAGTCCAAGTCCCAAATCATCCAAAAGTTGTCTTAACCATACAGCTTGGCGTGTGGCATCTGATGCTGCCATGTATTCCGCTTCTGTTGTTGAAAGCGCAACTGTAGGCCGTCTCCTACTTTTCCAAGCAACAACTCCATCATAAACTTTAAAGACATATCCAGTGGTTGATCTTCTGGTGTCCAAATCTCCTCCCCAATCTGCATCTGCATAACCTAAAGCAATGCGGTTGCTATTCTCTTTGTTGAAGGGGAGACAAAGATCAGAAGTACCACGGACATAACGAAGTAGGTGTTTGACCGCTTTCCAATGTGAGTCATTCCATATACTAAGGAACCTAGATAAGAGACTTGCTGGAAAAGCAAGATCAGGTCGAGTGATGGTTGAAGCATAAAGAATAGCCCCCACTGCTTGGGCATATGGGTAGTGTTTTGCTTCATCATGTTCTTCATCTGTTGCAGGGATTGGACGAAATCCCGATGGAAGTGGTGATTTTGCAGGATTGCAATCTTTCAAGTCAAATCGTTCAAGAAGTGATTCAAAGTAATGTTCTTGAGACATAAACAGTTTGTGATTTGATCTATCATGATGAATGTTGAACCCAAGAAAGTCCAACTGGACCAGAGTCTGAACACTCAAATTCTGAGTTAAGCGCCGCTTTGAAGTTGTCCAACATAGTTCGATTGGTACATGCAATGAGTTGATCGTCGACATGTACAGAGAGCATGAGAATGTTATCTCCTTCACGCTTTGAGTAGAAACAAGGATCGGCTTTTGTAAGAAGTAATCCTTGAGATTGTAACCACTTGCCAAGAGCTTTGTTGAAACATCATGGTGATTGTTTCAAGCCATAAAGCGACTTGCGCAACCAAAGCACTTTGTTTGCTGGAATGTTGGATCCTTCTGGTGGTTGCATGTAGATTGTTTCTTCTAATTCCCCATTCAGGAATGCCGCTTTGATATCGACCTGATCACATTCAAGATCAAAGTGGTTGACAATTGCTAGAAACACTCGAATTGAATCTTTGTGCGCAACAGCAGCAAAGAGTTCATTGTAGTCCAATCCTTCCACTTGATTGTAACCTTTTGCAACAAAGCGAGCTTTGTAGGTAGATGGGAGTCCAGTTTCTCCGTCTATCTTGCGAGTGTACACCCATCTTCCCTTTAAAATGCGCATTGCTGGATCCAAGTCCACAATTTCCCAGACTTTGTACTTTGACATTTTTGCAAGTTCTTCATCCATGCTTTTTCTCCAACATTGTTATGACCCGGTCAGGATGAAGCGTGTCATAACCCATGCTTGGGCTCATGCACCACACACCCGAGCTCATGTAGCTGACTAGAAGCACCATATGATCCATGAGCCAAATACAGAGCTCTCTATGATAGTTCGGTAAGCTCTACTGATGCTCTACCAGAGCTCTGTTAGATCATATGAGCTAGGTTATGGCTCGGGGAAGGCTCAATAGTTTTGTTAGTAGATGGATGCTGTCGGAAATAGAGCAATCGGTAACTGCCACATTGGAGCGCTATCGCTATTTCCGCGTATTCCCTCGTCTCATATCTGACCTCTGTCAATATTGTACTCTTTATGCATTCTACTTCTACATCTGACAGGTTATGAGCCTGAAATATCGCTCTTAAGACAAGATCTAACGGCTCCCGACACCCCTGTGGTCCCTCCAGCATTAGAATCAAGTAGGACTATCAGTAGAATCATCAACTCAACTAAAATTTTCGCTTTTCGCTTCAAATCGCCTTTCACGCTCTAACTCCATCAATACTGCTCCGATTCTCGATATCTCTTCGGATCTGAACAGAGCGTCACTGTTTCCACCATTACCGAAAAGAGTAGACCGATAACATTCACGAATAGCGAGATAGGTCGAAAGTGAAAATTTTCAACTGTAATATCCCTCCTTTACCAGCAAAATCGCTTTTTCAACACAACTCAGTCAATTCTGAACGAAATACATCGCTCTTTGGATCATAAGAAAGGGGACAGTGGGAGGTCATCAGAACGGGAAAGAGATTGCAGTTTGCAAAAGCGGTTGGGACAGGAGATCAACTACAAAGTCGGAATTTTTGTGAGCAATAATAAGACATCTTCTACACTCACAAAGCGACCTTTTATCCTCTTCACCTCAATTCTGCTCCAATTCCATCGCCATTAACATTTCTCAAACCGCCTCACAGCGCGCTCTCTAGATCTGCAGACGGATTTGGTTTTCGTGGAACGGTTGAACCAGCAGTGCAAAATTACAAGATTGAATTTCCACACCTCATCATTTGAATGTCATATTCGACCTTTCGTTCTCATTTCCCCAATTTACCACCAATCTTATCGCTCTCTGTCTTTCCTACACCTCTCCACCGTACTCTATCTATATCTGAAATCAAATCGTAAATCGGAGCAGCGGTCAAAGCAGGAGATCAAAAATCAAAATCGGAAATTTCAATCACTTCATTACAACTCCAAAATTTTTCTTTTAACCCCATTCCATCAATTCTTATCGGAATTATCGAATCCCTTCACCGGATCCTGTCCGCAACTACCAACTATTCATAACAAAAGACAAAGTTGGGATTGGATCACGGGTTGACGAGAAAAGCGATATTTGACGAATTAAAACCTCGCTTTTTCCTTATTCCCTCATCACCTTTTTTAATAAATTATCGCTTCTCTTATTCCTCAAATCCACGCTTTACAGCAAGCCTCTGGTATCGGTATCGACGCTCTCGGCTGGGAGTGAAGGCAAGTCCTGCAGAAGCGCAGGTGAAAAGTCGAAATCACTTCCACACTTTCGCTTTTTCTCTCATTCATTACTCTCTCCTTGTTCCTAAAACCGGACCTGCTTTATTGTGGGAGGTGCATCGTGTATCGCTTTAGATACAGCGGTGTAGACGAATCTGGACACCCCAGTGGCGCGCCTCTGAGTCCTAGGACATACCAAGCGCGTCTCGCAATCAGCTGAGTCACTCTGAGAGTCTATTCCTTGTTGTTTGAACTTCAGCTGATTTACATTTGGAAAATATCGCTTTTCCATTATCTCAATCAATACTCCACTTCCAGTCCTCTTACTTCACCCACACATCCGCTACCATTGCGGCTATCGCCACCTTCGATCGCAGCAACGTAGCATCAGTCGTTTCAAAGTTATCCGCATTTCATAAATTTGAACACCACAATCAAAATTTAAAAACAAGAATCGTCTTTTTCGTTTTCCTTGGTTCACACCGAACCGATTGGACCGAATTTTACAACAGCGATAGGACGATATTGCGCCTACCACCAGGTCTAAAATCAGCTCTGTTCCTGCGATCGTTATTGAGTTATCCAATTTTGAAAAATGTCTGACTCATCCGACACCGAAGTAAAAGTGAAAACCGTAAAATTGCGAGGAAGCGAGAATTATGCTCAATGGGAGGCTCATATTGCTACCACACTTATGGGCAAGGGATTACTACCGTATATCGACCTTGAACCACCCTCTAAAGACTTGAAAGATAGAGAAAACATCAAGGATCGTCTGAAAAGCGCAAAAGCGTATTTGATAATCTTTCAATCGCTTTCAGAAACAATCTCCTCCGCTTTACCATCTGATGTCAAAGACTGGAAATCACCAAATCCGAAATCGCTTTGGGATGAGATCAAGAAACAGTACTCTGCAGCTGTTGGAGCTAGACAAGCTGCGCTTTTTCAAGAAATGGCTCGAAAAACGATTGTGGAAGGGGAGGATCCAATGCCAGCACTTGCAGCGCAACGCAGTGCACATGCTCAGTTGAATTCGGCGGGAGAAAACCTTTCAGACAAGATGTTGGCCTACGCTATGACATTGGCGCTTCCAGAATCGTTCACAACGCTTAAACAGACGCTTTCGCTCAGGGAATCGCTTTCTTCTAGCGAAGTTCAGGCTGGAGTTCAGGCAGAATGGAGTAGGAGGAAAACTGAAGGAGAAAGTGCAACTGGAATGTTTGCAAAATCGAAATTTCGCTCCAAATTGACTTCCAACACTTTTAACAACCCAAAGAAACAATTTGATCGATTTCCACCAGCCGATCACTCGAAATACTGTTCATTTCATCGTAAAACTGGTCATTCAACTGAAGATTGTAAAACCAGAGTGAAAAATTCAAAAAGCGCAAATTTTGCAACTAAAGAAAACAAGAAAAGCACTGAACCTCCAAAAGTAACCGCCGATATCGCATATCTAAGCGATGCTAGCGCTTTTATCACAGCGGTTGCAACAGCAGACGATCCCATTGCTTTCTCAGCAAGTTCAAAGTCAATCTTTGTTGTGGACTCTGGCGCTTCACACCACATGTGTAATGACAAGAACTCGCTTTCGTCGATTCATTCAATCCCTCCAACTCGTGTAAAATTCGGAAATTCTGCTATTTTACCATGTACACAAGCTGGTACACTAGTCATAAGCGGTGTAGAGTTTCCAAACACGCTTTTAGTTCCTGGTTTGGACAGAAATTTACTCTCTGTAGGCGCATCAGAAGACGGGGGAGATTCAGAATGGCGCTTTAGAAAGGGAATTGCGACTTTCTGCAAGAATCACCAAATTCTTCTCTCTGCGCAAAAACATAATCGTCTTTATCTTCTACAAGCAAGTACTCCTACTGCAAATATTGCGACCACAACTGACCTACTCCTAGACTGGCACGAGCGCCTCGGACATCTCAATGTTGGCGCTTTAGTGAATTTGTCAAAGTCAGGACGGTTAGGATGTGAATTTACAAACTCTCATGCAAAAGATTTTCAGTGCAGAAGTTGTGTTGTTGGAAAAGGGAGGAGATTACCATCAATTCCAAGCGAAATTCGTGCTACTGAACCGCTACAAGTCATTCATCTCGATCTGTGGGGACCAGCACGAACTCCATCTCTTAGTGGTGCAGTTTACTTCCTGTCTTGTTATGATGACTTCACCCGAAAAGTACATCTTTACTTTCTCAAACACAAATCAGACGCTTTTGCGCAATTACAACATCATATTGCAAAAGTAGAAAGACAACTTGACACTAAAGTTAGAACACTTCGCTCTGATAATGGTGGAGAATTCAGTTCTATGGCAATGAGGAATTTTTGCGCAACACATGGTATTCAACACATCCAAGTACCTCCAGATGCGCATACACAAAATGGACGTGCAGAACGACTTCATCTTACAATTCTCAATGGAGTGCGCACAGTTCTGGCGCATTCTGGGCTTCCTGCTAAGTATTGGGCAGAAGCAGCAAATTACATTGCTTATACTCGCAACCGATGTCCTGGTGGTCCAAAGCGACACGTTCCAGATGACATTTGGTACAAAAGTGAAAAGCGACTTTCTCATCTTCAACCATTTGGGTGTAAAGTCTACCACCGTGACCATAAACAAAGCAACAAACTTGCGCAACGCTATCGCGAGGGACAACTACTTGGTTACCAAGAAGGTACAAACAACTTTCGCATTTTGGACACTCTCACCCAGAAAATTTGGATCACAAGAGATGTCATTTTCGCTACAAAATCAGATTTCTCCGAAGTCCCTGAGGTTTCTGATCTAGAACTTACACCACAAGTTATTGGTAGTGGGGCGGATATTCACCGCAAGAATCAGTCAAATCCGTCTTGCAGGGACTTAGATATTCAAAAAGCAAATTCAAAATTCACAACAATCTCAATTGAAGTTGAAAATATTCAAAATGACATTGCGCAAGACCCACAAGACGAAATCAACCGAAATGAAGCTCAGCCACTGGGGCGCATACAAACTCTCTTTGAGCAACTTGAGGAGCAAAGAAACGCACAGAATCAAGACTTTTTACAAAATCTTGAACGTGATCCTAGACGTCAGAATGCAATTGCGCAACGACAATTTGCGCAGAATTTGCAAGAAGAAGAATCCTCTTCCTCCTCTGAAAGTTCAGATGAACTAAACCTCCGTGATGATGATAACTCATTCAGTCTTGCAGCTCATGCGCTTGCAGCCACAAATCTACCCAACTCCTATCGAGAAGCGCAAAATACAGGTGAATGGGAATGTTGGAGAAAAAGCATGGATGAAGAACTTGGAAAAATGTCAAAGTACAAAGTGTGGGAAGTTGTGGACTTGGATCCAAAAATGCGCATTTTAAAGGGAAGATGGGTGTATACTCGCAAGATAGACGGAGAAACTGGTCTACCATCTACCTACAAAGCTCGCTTTGTTGCAAAAGGTTACAATCAAGTGGAAGGATTGGACTACAATGAACTCTTTGCTGCTGTTGCGCACAAAGATTCAATTCGAGTGTTTCTGGCAATCGTCAACCACTTTGATCTTGAATGTGACCAAGTGGATATCAAAGCGGCATTCCTGAATGGGGAATTGGAAGAAACAATCTACATGCAACCACCAGAAGGATCCAACATTCCAGCAAACAAAGTACTTTGGTTGCGCAAGTCGCTTTATGGCTTGAAACAATCACCAAGATGTTTCAACAAAGCACTTGACAAGTGGTTACAGTCTCAAGGTTTACTTCCTACAAAAGCGGATCCTTGTTTTTATTCAAAGCGTGAAGGAGATAACATCATCATGCTCTCTGTACATGTCGACGATCAACTCATCGCATGTAACAATCGGACTATGTTGGACAACTTCAAAGCGGCACTTAATTCAGAATTTGAGTGTTCAGACTCTGGTCCAGTTGGATACTTTCTTGGTTTCAACATTCATCGTGATAGAACAAATCACAAACTGTTTATGTCTCAAGAACATTACTTTGAATCACTTCTTGAAAGGTTTGACTTGAAAGATTGCAATCCTGCAAAGACTCCTCTACCTTCTGGATTTCGTCCAATCCCTGCAACAGATCAAGAACATGATGAAGCAAAACACTACCCATATGCCCAAGCAGTGGGGGCTATTCTTTATGCTTCAACCATAACTCGACCTGATCTCGCTTTCCCAGCAAGTCTTCTATCTAGATTCCTTAGTAAATGGAATGACTCACATTGGAAAGCGGTCAAACACCTACTTCGTTATATCCGTGGTACTTCTGATCTTTGTCTCACCTTCAACAAAGAGAATAGCAATCGCATTGCATTAGGTTATGCAGATGCAGATTGGGGAGGAGATTTGGACACTAGAAGATCAACCACTGGATATGTCTTTAAAGTTTATGGTGGAGTTGTTGCTTGGAAAAGTAGGAGACAACCTACAGTTGCGCTTTCAACAACAGAAGCGGAATACATGGCGGCTTCAGATGCTACACGCCAAGCTGTATGGTTAAGACAACTTTTGGATGATTTGGGACTTGGACTTGGTCAAGAACCTTTGAAACTTCTCAATGATAATGCGGGAACTATAGCTCTTGCCAAGAATCCAGTTCATCATAACAAGACAAAACATATTGACCTGCGACATCATTATATTCGGGAGAAAGTTGAAGATAACACTGTCTCTCTGTCACATATTCCCTCAGCAGAGAATATGGCTGACTTGTTGACAAAGGCTCTTCCTTCAGATACATTTGATAGACTGAGGGAGTTATTAGGGGTATGTGGCAGATCCGCTTGAGTG